TAAATAAAAATAATAAATAGTCTATAGAAATGAGGGGGTCAGAACCTAGGACCCACTGAGCCTGATGCTTCCTTACTGTTTTACACCCCTGAGATATTCCTTTTGGGGCCCAGGAGGCCCTTTCCTGGCTGCCCCCCTGCATGGGTTATACTGAGCAAGGGAGCCAGTCATAGTCACACGACCAGCTCCTTGTGTGGTGTAATTATGCTGCTCATTGCAATGACATTGTAGTGGTCCCCAACCTTTATGGCACCAGGGACCAGTTTCATGGAAGACAATTTTTCCATGGACCAGAAGCAGGATGGTTTCAGGATGATTCAAGTGCATTACATTTATTGTGTACTTTATTTCTATTATTATTACATTATTAACCTCTCTGCTAATGATATGCTAATGATAATCTGTATTTGCAGCCGCTCCCCAGTGCTAACATCACCACCTCAGCTCCACCTCAGGTCATCAGGCATTACATTCTCATAAGGCGTGTGCAGCCTAGATCCCTCACGAGCAGTTTACAGGAGGGTTTGTGCTCCTGTGAGAATCTAATGCCACCGCTGATCTGACCAGAGGCGAAGCTCAGGCAGTGACGTGAGTGATGGGGAGCAGCTGTAAATACAGATGAAGCTTCATTCACTCACCCACCGCTCAGCTCCTGCTGTGTGGCCTGGTTCCTAATAAGCCACAAGCTGGTACCGGTCCTCAGCCCAGGGGTTGGGGACCGCAAACATATTGGACAAAGAACATAGGCCTCTTTCAGCAGGTATTTCAGTTTGTGTAAGTTTTTAAAAGCATGGATTCTCTTTTTGGTCCTCTCATCACAGCAGAGTATCTCAGGAGTATATCCTTGCCGGTACCCGTCCTGGTGGAGGATACCAGCAGCAGCAGTGAGTATGGCTCAGTCTCACCCGACACGGAGTTAAAGGTGGACCCCTTCTCTTTCAAAACAAGAGCCAAATCCTGCGGAGAAAGAGATGTAAAAGGAATTCGGACACTCTTTTTAGGGTAAAATCCTGACTGACTATATGTGAAAGAAGTATGTTGTTAAATGTGTTACTTTATAAAGGAGATTGTGATTTATGCTGCATAAATTATTTCAGCATTCCAGATGAAAATTTTGAAGATCACAGTGCACCCCCTTCCCCTGAAGAAAAAGATTCCGGATTCTTTATGCTGAGGAAGGACAGTGAAAGGCGGGCCACGCTTCACAGGATCCTGACGGAAGACCAAGACAAAATTGTGAGAAACCTAATGGAATCCTTAGCTCAGGTAAGACCTCTCACGGGTGCTTCATTTCCCAGAGCTGACGTATTTTACCTGTGTCATAACCGCCTGGCACTGTAGCATGATGTGGAGGCATAAGGAAGCCGTTGTGCTTGTGATGACAAAACACACCTACTCTAGGGGAAAAAGGAAAGCCAATCTCTAATGTAGACACTGCATTTTTAACATGAGCTGCTTTTTAAGTTCAGAAGCAAATTTTTCATGTTGATGAGGTCCCACTTAGTCCCTACAGGCCTCTTTTACCTGTCATTCATTTGTTTATCCAGTCAATAAACACACATTTAGCCACGTGAATTGCTAATTCTCAGATACCTGCCACCTTCTCCTCTGAGCATTTGGGAAACATCAGCAAATACAACAGAAACCCTGAGCTTGTGAGGCTACGTTTACACGGAGGGTGACGGGCAATGATAAGTACATTACAGTAAGTCCTCGCTTGGCGTGGCCCACAGGTTATCTTAGAAACTGCAACTTTAAGCAAAAGGAGGTGTAAGGAAACGAATTTTACCCTAGGCTAATTGATATGAAAGTTCAGTTCCTACGGCATATTTCTGGTCACGAAAACATTAGCAAACTCCTAAATAAAGACCAAAACACTTACGATATTAACCACTGAAATGAATGTGAGCTCTACATATGTTTAAGAAAGATGAATGAAAACAAGTAAGATCCTTATTGACCCACTTATCCCAGTTCAGCATTGCGGGTGGCTGAGCTTATCCCCGGCAGCTCAGGGCGCCAGAAAGGCACCAACTCTGGACAGGACACCATCTCATCGCAGGGCGCACACACCCATATACTCACACTCACTCAGACTGGAAGAAGTTAGACACACCAAACGTGCGTAGATTTGGGGATATAGGAGGAAACTAGAGTACCCAAGAAAACACATACAGGTATGGGGAGAATGTGCAAACTCCACATGGACAGTGGCTCCCACCAGGAATCAATGATTTTTTTCTCATCAACATTATAATGAAACAATATTGAATGAAACAGTGTTATTCGAGGATCTGCTTTATACAGCATGTTAGAAGGCCATATGTACTGTGAAAAAGCTAAGCTCGCCAGTGAACTGTTGTTCCCTGGTGTGTTGGTTTGCTAGGGCTGCGTCTTAGTCCTGTTCCGTTGCTGTAATGGAATACCTGAGACTGGATAACTTATAAAGAGAAGAGGTTTCTTAGCAATCATCATGAAAAAAAAAAATTAAGAAAAAGTTTATTTTGGCTCATAGTTCTGGAGCCTGGGAAGTCCAAGATTGAGTAGCCGGTCTGGTGAAGGCCTCGTGCTGCTTCAACTCATGGAAATTGGAAGAGCAAGGAGGCTTGTATGGAAAAAGAGAGAGGGACGGAGGGAGCTGAGCAGCTTTATGACAACCTACTGTCCTGAGAACTAGCCCAGTCTCGGGAGAACTGTATTAACACATTAACTGCTGTGTGAGTTGTATTTAACTCAGGCTAGTTTTGAGCATGGAGCCTCATGAATTAAATGTAACTCACACATCTCTTCACCTTGGGAGCCACAAGAACTATTTTTCAAGTTGCATATAACTCACACACAGAAAACAATAAAAAGTAACATATTTTTCATTAAATTAAAAAGGATTATTTTGTTTTTGAAGTTTTTATTATATTTTCCTAATAAAACACCATGGCCCCAAGGAAAAAATTTTTTTCTAGTGTGGCAGTCGATGTGTTAATCCATTCATGAAGGCAGAGCCCACAGGACTTAGATACCTTTTAAAGGCCCCATCACCTCTCAGTATTGTTACACTGGCAATTAATTTTCAACATGAGTTTTGGCAGGACAAGCCACATCCAAACCATAGCAGGCTGCCATAACAAAATATCACAGGCCGGGTGGCTTCAACAATAGTAATTTATTTTCTCACAGTTCTGAAGGCTGGAAGTCCAAGATCAAGGTGTTGGCAAGTTTGGTTTCTCCTAAGGACTCTGTCCTTGGCTTGCAGATAGCTGCCTTCTCTCTGTCCTCACGTGGCCTTTTCTCTGTGCACTTGCACCCTGGTGTCTCTTCCTCTTCTTGTGTGGACACCAGAGGATGTCAGTCCAGTTGGATTAGGGCCCCACCCTTATGACCTCACTTAACCCTGATTATCCCCTTAAAGGTCCTGTCTCCAAATACAGGCACATTGGGAGTTAGGGCTTCAACATATGAATTTGGGAGACACAATTCAGTCCATAATACCTGGGAAAATGTGCTCCCTGAGATTCTGCTTACAGATATGAGGAAGAGTCCCCTCCCCAAATCTGCACCAGGGGAAACAGAGTTTCTTTCAGCTCCAAGCCCCTGGGGGCAGAAGCTCAGGCCTCTTGTGGATCCCACAGACATGCTCAGTCCCAGACATAATAAAAGAGGATGACATGATACTTGTCATCCTCTTTTAGTTCTCTGGGTGTCAGGGACTCATCTACCTGCTTCCCCTCCCGTGGCCACCTCCTGTCCTTCACGATCATGGCAGACTGCACATAGCTTTTTCCTTCCGTCTATCCTGGGAAAACAGCTGCACAAAGGATGGAGCTGGAGGGGTCGGGCCAAGTTCTTAGTCTCAGCGTCCAACTCTTTATCTGATCTCATCTTTTATTGAGATATCAATGTAGCAAGGCTCTCTCTTTCTTAACTCTTACCAAACAGCCTCAGCCTGTTTTTGTCTTGAGAACCTTGAGAACCTTGCTATGCCTCTCTGCTGTCTTTCCTGCCTGAACATCTTGTCGCCTTAAGAATTCCCTAACATCCACCTCTTTAGATCCCACAGGAGGAGCTGAAAGGTTATATGTACACAGTGGGGCCTCTGCATCCAAGGAGAGCGGAAATGAACACCGCCTACACTCTCTGGGGAAGCCCTGACCCGGGTCCTAAAGGAAAGCTGCCTTGGGTAGTTATGAGGCCCAGGAAGAAGGGGCTCTGGGATGAGGGGTAGCTGGACATCTGAGTAGGGGAGGGTGAGTGTTAAGGATGCTGGGTGGTGGGAGACGTGGAAGAGACCGGAGCAGTCCCAAGCTGTCAGTTCTCTCTGGCCTTTCCTTCCACTCGCTGTGCATTCAGGGACTGAGACCAGGAGGGATTGACCTAAGAGGAGGAATCAAGTTAGATGGAGGGAGCAGCTGGGCAGCACTTGAAGTTCATTCATTCATTCAGCAAATACTTGATGAGCATCTGCTATTGCCAGGCACTGTTCTGTGTGCCGGGTGTACCACAGTGAGCAAAACAAAAACATCCGCATCCCATTGAAGTTGACATTCTAGTAGAGGAAGAAAAACAATAAAAAAATTAGTAAATATACATATATAGTAATAACAGCAAATGTTTTCTATGGGCCAGATATTGTTTTTAGTATTTCATGTGTATTTGCTCATTTAATCTTCATGACAATAGTACTACAGTAATCATTTTATTAGTGCCCTCATTTTACAGGTGAGGAAACCGAGGCACAGAGGCCTTGAGTGGCTTGCCAAGGTCACGCAGCCCTAAGTGATGGAGTCAGGATTTGGACCCAGGCCGTCTGGCTCCAGGGTCTGTGCTCTTAATCAGCACTGCCCTGCCTCTCCGGTGTGCCAGGTGGTGGACAAGTGCTGGGAGGAACATACAGCAGGGGAGGCGTTGGTGGTGCTGGGGAGGGGAAGGAAAGGAAACCACCATTTGCCACTGTGGAGTGAAGGCCTCTCCTATGACCACTAGTTTAAGATGCTTGATTTTAGGTCAGAAACTCTTAGGAATTGCCTAAATCTCATAATTATCCCCAAAGGGTGTGCTTTTTCTGTACAGAAAACATCAGTTTGTTTGGGGGCTTTTTCTTTCGTCTCCCTGCTGGACCGTAGCTCCATCAGGGCAGGGATGTCCTGGTCATTGTTGTAGTCCCAACCTTCAGCACAGAGCCTGGCAAAAGTATCACTTCTGTGCCTGTTCTGAAATTCTTAAATTTTGAAATTGGTTAATCATATTCAATTGTTTGGCACCTCCTAGTTTTTAAAGCATGCAGGAATGTTCTCCATAAAAGGGGAAATGAAAGAAAACCTGAAAAGCAACCATCAGAGGGCTTGCCTTGGTGCCCTGGCCTGAAGCTACCAGTGAGTACCAGAAACTGCTGAGCAGAATCACAGTTGCACAACTGGTTGCGCATGGTCAAGGAACAGTGAGGTTCCTTCTGACTGTGCTGTTAAGGACGCTGTGACATCACATGGTGATTTAGTGGCAGAGCAGGTCCTGACCCAAGCTCACAGCTGGCTATTCCAGCTGTCGGGGCAGTAGAATATAATGGTTAGGAGCTTGGGCTCAGCTTGGATTTGCCTCTGTTTGAGGCCTGGTTCCATCACTTAAAGGCTGTGCGATTTGGGCAAGTTATTTAACTTCTCCAAGCCTGAGCGTCCTCATCTAGAAAAGAGAGGAATCTGTCTCATCAGGTTGCTACCAGGATTAACTGGGATCATGAGTGATTTAGACCATAACAGAAAATGTTCAAAAATGTTAACTATTATTGTTGTTGTCATTGTCAAGCAGACTCATAATAGTTACATTAATATAATATCTTCAATTTTTTCTACAACCAGAGAGAAATAATTTCTAGATACAACTTTACATTTATGCCTATGCTTTATAACAAAACCAAAATATGGGTGTTGGTCAGGTCCTCAAACCATGAAATGATGAAAAGGCTTTTAATCTGTGACATCCTTCCCAAATCTTCCTAGTTTTTTAAGGAAGTTTAAACGATAATGACTAGAGAGCACCTTTCCAGAAGATTCGGTGACTGGCACCAGGAGTGCTCAGGATAGGCACACTGTCAGATGTCACTCTGACACTGAGTCGGGCTCACCCAATACTGTCTACATTGCTCACTTACGAAGGCATGTGAATGAGTTCACATGGAGAGACAGGAGTGAGAACAGAAATAAATGGTGACGTGAGCGGATAAAATAGCCTGGACAGAAAACAGTTCCCAGAGTAGAGATCATTCCTTTGTAGGACAGTGACACACACATCAGAAAACCAGAAGCAACATGTTTTTCTGTTGTGAAAACAAAGCTAATGTAAAAAAAAAAAGTTTGCTATTTGAACTGTTGGCAAACATGTAACTGATTTTTCACTAAGAGAAGCTTCCAGTTTCTGAATAACTCACATTTTTCTTCTTGAACATATTTTCATGGTGTTATAATTTTGCCTGTGAATCTTTACTTTGGGTGTAATTTAGTTTGTGGTAAGAAAAAAAGAAACAACAAAGTTTATAATGATTCCAAGTCTGATTTTAAAATAGTCCCTTAATAACAGCTTTCAAGCTTTTCAATATAATCATTTCTCATGAAAACATATATATGAAACTGAACTCCCAAATACATATTAAGAGAAAGAACTTGATGGTGCATTTCCCTTTTATTTCAATAGAATCCTACAAATTATAATTTTCACAGCCCAGTTGAGGAATTTTAATTTTAATGATGCAATAAGAAATGTGCAACATGAGATAGAAATGAACATAATAAAAATCCTGTTGTTTCTTAAAGTTAAATGAGGATAAATAACATCCTACTGTGTTTTCTTTAAATAAGCAATGTGCCTTGCCTAAAGTAACAAAAAAATTTGAGAGAAGCCATTTGTTTAAGTATTATAGTCTATGTTTAACATATAAAATGGTACATTGGTCCATTCTTACTACTAATTGCCTCATTGATGGGTAAGGAATGGAGTTTGTCTCTTTCGGTTGCAAGGAACTGACACACTGTAAGAGCATTTGAAGTATAACACCAGGGACAGGCTGTAGGTAGACACACGTAGCAGCGAGGGAAGTGGATTCTTAAGGAATTCCAACCATGATGCCTAGCTGAGCCTCAGAGACTGAAACTAGAGCATGATTCCAAGGGACTTTTTGCACATCTTTTCTCTGGATCTGATGCTATTGGCTCTCTTGGTGTGCATTTCTGTTTCTGTCCACTTCTCTCCACACCTATTATCCTTCTCAATGCCATTGCTTCTGCATCCTTCCTTGTAATTGGACATACTCATGACCCTATTTTATGACTTCTCTCTCTGGGCAGACTTTGAGACTGAGAATCCTGTGGCCATTGCCCAAGTCTCTCTTTAGTTCCCAATTAAAATGTCTGAGAGCAAGAATCTTATTGCCTCAGCCTGTTTGGGCACAGCTCGGTGTATCTGACCGTGTATCATGGCTACTGACCAGTGTATGGGGTAGGTGCCCTTTCTCTCAAAGTCTGATTATTTCTTGTTGGGGCATGTGTGTGTGAAGAGGAGCCATATGGTTCACAATATGGTCTTCTTCCCTTAGCTGGAGGCATTTGGAAGCCCAGTTCTCAGAAAGGGCTGTGGGGGTGGTTTGCCCCTGGCTGGTGTCTCCCGCACACATTGACTGAGGGATTGTTGGTTTTTATTCACAGGGGGCTGAAGAACCTAAACTAAAATGGGAGCACATCACAACCCTCATTGCAAGCCTCAGAGAATTTGTGAGATCCACTGACCGAAAAATCATAGCCACCACGCTGTCGAAGCTGAAATTGGAGCTAGACTTCGACAGCCATGGCATTAGCCAAGTCCAGGTGGTGCTCTTCAGTTTTCAAGATGCTGTAAGTACGATATTTTGCCAGCGTTTCCTCACAAACTTGGTCAGAAAAATAGGATAAAACATAATTTATCTTTTCTTTCTCTGATAATTCCAATGAACTGTATTCTCTTTGGATGATAAATGAGAGATACCTATGTATCTGTGTGCTTCTAAGTATCAGATTTGTTTTGTGTGTTTGCATTCTCCAAAATTAGATACACATAAAACTGAATCACCATGGAAAATAGCAAAACTTATAAACATCTCCCAAGGCTGAACTTTGTTCTTATGAAATTATGTTGGGTCACTATTTATTTTGATGACTTTAGCAACGTAACACACTTCAGTCATGCACTTTCTAATTCTATTTGAGAAATGCCATCTAGTGGCCATTGAGAAAAATTTAACAGTACAGACTGAAATGGTCACTGCTGAATAAAAGCAGTATTTTTTTTTTTGTTTTCAGTTTTCCTCTGGTTTCCATACAGAACATTTTAAACATGTTTGTTTCATAAATAGACACTGTGTTCTAGCCAGAAATATACTTTGGAGTACAGAGCATCACTGACTGACTATTAAGCAACATGATCTAATGAGAGAGTGCTGAGAATTCTCTCTAAAACTGAGTTGCTATGCAACTCAAACTGGAAGCCAGTCTTCTGAAAGCCTGATTCACAACTCTCTGTGTTATTCTTGGACAAGACTTATCTGTGGAACTTTGTGCCAAAAAAGCCTCAAGCCACTCCCAGAAGACCCTTACAAAGTGTGGGAGACTGAAATAAGAGGGTTCTTGACGGTGTCTGTGGTGCGAATATGGAAGCACTATGCTGTGAATATGGAAGTATAATTTTATTTAAATTCCAAAAATTAATTCAACCCTAATGTATTTATTGCTCCTGTATAGAAGGTGTCTTAACATTGCAAATTTGGAGCATCAAAGATCCCCAATTTAAAACCAAATTAGCTGGGCACGGGTGTCATGTGCCTGTAGTCTCAACTACTTGGTGGGGTGAGGTGGGAGGATCATCCCTTGAGCCCAGGAGTTCAAGACCAGCCTGGGCAACATAGCAGTACCCTGTCTCAAAAAAAAAGTAAAAATAAAATCAAATTATAATTTTTCAACAGCCACTAGTTTTCTCTGAGACACTGTGTAACCCATCTGACTTGACTGAGGTCACAGGAAATGAAACTGGCAAAGCCTAGCACTAATATTAAATGCTAAAGGTATGCTTATACTGCAGCTAGGGAAACCCAGCCATCTGTAAATAGAGTGAAATGATTGAACTAATTTGTACTTGCCCACACATTTGGCTTCTGGCCTAGAGGTTGGAAAGCAAGTTTGCTGTAGAATCCAGATTGGGAGCTATTTGGTTGTAATCCTGGGCCGCAGGCCAGGTCAGACATCCACCCATGTACACACACACACACACACACACACACACACCCCCACACCCCCAGCTCTTGCTCACTCAAAGTCCAGGATGGGAATGAACCCAAAGAATGGGCCCTATATAGTTACTGTACTGAAGAGCTAAGAGGAGCAGGTCATGGTTATAAAGGATCCCTTTTCTACCTTGTGTGTTTGACTCTTAAGAGAAATATTCTAGTTTACTAAGTGTTATGCTCATTAGTCAAATAAGCCTCCTTTAAAGAAATGAAGGCACCAGGACAAACTCAAGTCTAAATGGATTTCCCAGAATAAGTGGGAACCTAGCAATGTTCACTTTCTGAACAACTAGTAGGAGGAAGTCCTCAAACTGACCGCCTTCTCACCTGGAGATTTTGATGAAGAGGGACCAAGGACAGGAATGAGCAACGGGCGCTCCAGCTCTCGGTGTGGGTTTGCAGCTGGGTCATCATCTCTCCAGCTTCCTCTGAGGTCTCTAACCAGAGCCCTGTTGGGGAAATCATCTCTTTTCTTAGAGGCCTGTGTCAACCAGCAAGTAGTGGAGTTAATGCAAACTTTAAATGAGCCTGTCTTAGCCTTATAATAAATGGTTGTTTTTAGAAAGGTAATGCACATGGTGTATATATACGAACACACACACACATGCATATACATCGGAATATTATTCAGCCTTGAAAAGGAAGGAAATTCTGACACATGCTGCAACAGGGATGAACTTTGAGGATGTTATGCTAAGTGAAATGAGCCAATCACAAGAGGCCATATACTGTGATTCCACTTATCTGAGGTACCTAGAGTAGTCAAATTTATAGAAGCAGAAAGTAGAATGGTGGTTTGCAGAGATTTCGGAGAGGGGAGAATGCATGTAGAGTTTCAGTTTTGCAAGGTGAAAAGAGTTCTGGAGATGGGTGGTGGTGATGGTAGCACAACAATGTGAATGTACTTAGTGCCACTGAACTGTACACTTAACAATGGTTAAGAGGATAAATTGTATGTATTTTACTACAATTTTAAAAAAGAAAAAAAGACAAAAATTTAGTGCATACATCTATTTCAGTGTCTATTTTAATATGTGAAACATTACTAGTCACTACAAAAAGATATCCTAACGACAAAGATTTAATGTGAACAGGTTTCGTGTCTTCATTATGCAGATAAAAAAATTAAAAATAAATAACACGAACAGGGTTTCTGAATATTTTAGCAGATTACTCCCCTCTCTACAGAGGTATGAACAACCATGGGAAGGAAACAAGGCCTGGGCTGTAGCAAACCTGTAGGGAGCGAGAAATGCTAATGTTTCTCTTTCCCTGCTTTTCCAGATCACTAGAGTATGCTGAATTTTTATTTAAAGCCCCTTGGACCCCCTCTTCCTCTGTGACCCCTCCCCACCCCATTCTGCAGATGACGTAAAAGCTTGGAAGCTGCATATTTTGCATCCCAAAGAAGTGACATTCTCATGCAACCAGACCACCTTTCACTTAAATAACTTATTTGCTTACATGGGGATCACTAAACTTGAATTTGAAGTGGCAATTTTTAATTTGTTTTCTGGTGACATAAAGAAATTCTTTGTAATTCACAGTGAAGAAACCTTTTAGTTATTTTTGTCCAAGTGCTTGGATCAGCTAGATTATTTGCAATTAAAAATTAAAGTAGGCTAAATGTCACTCTCTGTCTCCAGGTCAATAAAGTTCTCCGGAATCACAACATCAAGCCGCACTGGATGTTTGCCTTAGACAGTATCATCCGGAAGGCGGTACAGACAGCTATTACCATTCTGGTTCCAGGTCAGAAATACTTAATTACTCTGCAAATATTTAGTGCTTGGATATTTTATATTACTGTTCATCTGTTATTTCTAATATCTCCTTAGTGCTTATAAAACTATGGTAGCTTTTTTTTTTAAGTCTTTTCGAGGCAACAAAATAACATTTATTCCGTGCATGTAATCTGAGTAATGGTACACGAAGCAAAATGTTTACTATGAGTGAGGAAGACTTTCTTCCTTGTCTTTAAAGAGCATGTTTGAATGTGAAGAGAAAGAAAAATTATAGAGGTGACCCAAATAAATCTGCATTTCCATGTACAGATATCTGTGCCCATAAAATACTTTCATATGTCACCTTTTACCCAGTGGTGCCCAGATCTGCCAGTGCATTGAGCAATGTAAGGAGCTCTTTAAAATTACAGCTTTCAGAGCCTCTTCTCATAGCAAGTGACTAAGAATCTGCTAGGGATAAAGCCCAGGAGTCTGATAAAAAAACAAAAAAAAAGACTATTCTTTTAGAGCAGTTTTAGGTTAATAGCAAAGTTTAGAGGAAGGTACAGAGATGGCCCGTATCCCCCTCTTACCCTTACACATTCACAGCCTCCCCCAGTATCAGCCTAACATTTGTGATAATTGATGCAGCTACATTGACACATTATTATCACGCAAAGTGCATAGTTTTCATTAGGGTTCACTCTTGGTGTTGTATATTACTAGATTTGGACAAATATATGATGACATGTATGATACACCATTATAGTGTCATACAGAATATTTTCACAACCCTAAAAACCCTCTGTACTCCACCTCTAGGAATCTGATTTTAATCCAACTCCCTAATCATTTTGATGTACAGCCAGGTTTGGAAACCACTGGTCTAGACACAGCCCCAGCTATGCTGGCAGTGAGGTACAAAAGGGGTAGTGTTGGTGAAACAAGGCTTTATGGAGTAAGTACTCTAAAGCAAAACCTCCAAAGTGTTTCGATAGTCTATCCAGTAATAAAAATTGGAAGCAAAGCTATTCCACCCTGTGTGCGTGTGTTGGGGGGGTGGATGGATGGATACATGGGTGGGTGCGTAAGAGTAGGTAGAAAGATATATAGATAGATTTATGTATATAAATTAAAAATGTGTTCTACAGTACTAATTTGAACCTGTATTATAAAGCATTCTAAAATAGAAGTTTAAAAGGATAAGATCAATATGAAATATTTTTAAATTTCAGTGATTTATAAATGGTACCACAAATTTTGTCCACCCTTCTGAGTTCTGGAATTCCCTCTCTTCTCTCAGAATACTTGGGTGTTAGACTTGTAAATCTTTTTTTTTTTTTTTTT